AGGAGGCACCGTGTCAATGGGCCACAGCTGTATGGAGTTGGCTGAGGAAAGGTGAATGCTGCAGCCATTTTCTAAACATTATCTACTTGATGTAAAGAAAAATAGGAACTCAGGTATGCTGTTCGACATGTGCATTGCTGAGTGGTTGGAAGAATAGTGCTGTGAAAAAAAAACTGAAATCAGGAATAGGTTATAATACCGGCCAGAGGCTATTGGTTGAAGCCTAGGTCCAGCAGAAGTCAGTGTCAAAACTTTCACTGATTTTGCTGGATCAGGATCTCATCTGGAAAGTGCAAATGCAAAGTCAATGGAACTGCAGTTGCAGAAAGAGCAGTAATGCAGCTGTGGTCAGTGTTTCATATAGAGAAGCAAAATTACAAACCTACAGTATGAACTTGATGAAAAATTTAAAAGTGATTTTGAGGTGTCTACTTGTTCTGAAGAGAAGCTGTAAGATAATACCATGGGAGATGATTAGAGCATGGCCTGGGCTCTGGCCATGAGGAGATCCTCTCTCCCAAAGAAAACTCACAGCTGTCTCACATTACTGACTAAAGCAGACTCCTAAGGGGAGAGATTCCTCACAAATTACTTGTGAGAGCACAGCAGCATGGTTCAAACTCCCAGAGGACTTCTGGTTACAATTATATAACAATACTAAAGTCCATTGAACTTATTGCTTAAGCCAGAAGTAACCTTGGCTGATGATGAGCTCCCTTGTATGTTGTACAAATTCTACCTGGTAAATATTCACAGGCTTTGCACCCACCAGAGCAGTCCCCTTCTCCCTCAGTAGTAGGAACTTCAGATAGTTATTCCAACCCTATAGGAAGTGGTTTGGGAGAAGGCAGAATGAAAGAAATCTCTTTTTGTTTAGATTTAACAACACCTCCTTGGATACTCTGAACAATCATGAATAGTAAGTGGCATTATTACTCTTTCCCTCCACTGTTTTTAAGTAGAAAATTTAATGCTAGTACAACCTGAAGGTAGAAAGGGAAGCTTTTGCTTGTTTGTTTAGTAAGTGCTTTTTAAAGTTCCTTTTAAAATCATATTTTATAAGGTTTTTTTTTCTTTGCAAGGTTATGGCTAGAAAAGACCTGGAGTGGATGCAAAATTATCTCTCAGGTACTGTGCTCAGAAACAGATGTGAATTATGCTCTATGGGGTAACTCATTGACGTCTTTTATTATTACAGTTGTTGGATCAAAAACATAGTGGAGGTAGTGGAGACAGCAGGCCTTTTGAGCAGCCTAGGAACAGGCAAACAGCAAATGGGAATTTCACTGAATGGATTTTGTACAGCAAAAGCTTGGTACACAGTGCCCTCTTTGTTCCACAGAGAAGAGTGCATCCTTCTGAACCTTGTAGCAAGAAATAAGCAAAATTCTAGCTAAGAAGTATTTTGAAGGGAAACCAGCTGTTCAACTTGGCCTCCTCCTTAATCTTTGTGTGTTTGGAAATGCTGTGCAAATCAGGGCTCCTCCAGGCCAAAGTGGAGACTGCAACAAATATCTGAGTGTGGATATTTGTGTCCCTGCAAGGACATATATCAAACATGGACACACAGACCTTTGCCAGCAGAAGAGGGGCTTTGACCCTCTGTAGGAGCACCAGAACTGTTTACTTCAAATGCTCTTTCTGTTGAAAGGCTCTTTGGGTTTGGAGCATTTGAGGGACCCAAATGCAAGGATCCAGTGAGATCCTCACTTGTTATATTCTCTGCCTCTGTTAGAGTTCAACCAGGCTTGTCACAGGCTGGAAATCTCTCTCCTCTCCTAATTTTGGTAGCAACAAGAGGATGGGTCTTTTCAGAGAGCCCTCCTCACTGAAAAAAACCACAAAATGCAGACATAGCAGAAGCTAAGAGCTTTCACACTCCAGGAAAACACAAAATTTCTGAGTTAGAAACAAATCTGCATGGGAAGAATCTGAAAGTAGCCTGTTGCCCAGTGATGTGGAAATGCGTGTGGTGGACAGACTGCACTCGGCATCTGAGGATGCAGCAGCTGCTGTGCCTGGAGCACACACAGGTGCTGCTGAGGCCTCAGCTGCTCACAGTTCCAGGAACTGGAGGAAGAGGCAGCCAGAAGGAGCAAAGAAAACACAGACTGAATAATCAGGAAAAGAAGATAAACTGTGCTGAGTGGCAGCTGGTCTTTAGAAAACAGGCTGTGTAAATACCCCAAGGGCCTTGTGCATCATCCTTGGGAAGCTAGTCCCCAGAGGGGGACTCAGCTGGGTCACCATGCCACACCACTCCACAGTGGAGGTATGTTTACTTCTGCACAGTCTTCAGTGTTTCCTGTGAGAACATTCCCCTGCTCATAATCAGTATCTGCTGACCTTTCAACGAGTGTTTCCCTTCTCTGTCTATACACATATGTTTGTGCCAGAAAAAGCCTCCAAATAAATTATTTACTGCTCATCTTCTGAAGGCAAACATGCAATCCAGGCCCGATTTTTACAGTGTTGAAGGGAGAGACCAGCGACCAAATAATAGGATTGTGCATTTTGTCTTCAATGCATAGGTGGCATACAGTGTACTTTCTCTACCTGTGCATAATGGAAGCAGTTTATAGGGAAAACTTGCATGGAATAATTTTCTGCATTGTATATACTGACAGTTTTCCTGATACTTTTGCAGTGGTAGGGATGGGTGACTTTTAGAAGAAGAATGCAGCTTGCCAGCAGTGTTTCAGTGCCTGCTGTTAATGTTGCCTCTGGCTGTAATTGTGCAAACCATCTTTCAATGAATATTTGACAAAAGGTATCACCAGTTTGTGCTTCTATTAACCCATAGCTCCATTTTGTATCTGCTATATCCCTTTCTTTTTCTGTTCATCCTTTGCTGTGTTTCTCTCTTCTCTCTCTGTCCTTCCTGTGGTTCTCCAGAAACGTGCTTTGTAATGTTTGTTCCCTGCAATTCATTTGTACTGGTGAGTTTGCCAGGCCTGGAGGCACACAGAAGTTTTGGCACTGACTTTGATCTGATCTTCAGTGATCTTGGTGAAAGAACTGACCCCAGCCTGGAGATGTGGGTTTCCTTATAGGACTCTGCAAAGGCCCCACAGAGCAGGGTTACCAAAGGAGAGGGTCAGCTGAAATGATTTGCTATGAAACATTGTCTTTGTCTAAGCTGAGGTTTGGAGCAGAAGAGCAGTGCTGACAAAGCAGCACTTAGGTGCCCTCTGGCCCTGCTTGGGGCTGCAGCTGTTGTAGCAGTGAGACATTCAGTCCTGCACCATCCAAAGCCTTGGTCTCCCTTCTGTTGTGCCTAGGCTGTGGTTTCCACCCACCTCTTCCATGCTTTTGGTACTTGCTGTCACCCAACACCTGGTTCAGCAAAGGAGCTATTTGGCAGAAAGCTTTTTGTAACCGACTTATTCAAGGAAATTAATAAACAAGAAACTCTGCCTAGTGCAGTCCACACTAATGGCCTGTCAAGCATATGGCAGTGCTATAGATACACTGTGCTTGATGCCTCACA